ACCCTAAACCCTAAACCGTCTTGTGGGGTTCAGCCACAACCCTCATATACCCTAACCCTAAACCCTAAACCCTAAACCCTAAACCCTAAACCCTAAACCCTAAACCCTAAACCCTAAACCCTAAACCGACTTTTGGGGTTCACGGTAGACCCGATCGGGTCCTCCTTGGCTTCGTCTGCCTCCGTCCTTTGATCAACGCTCTCGTCCTCGCAGATGCGGAGCTTTAGGGTTTAGGGTTTAGGGTTTAGGGTTTAGGGTTTAGGGTTTAGAGCTTTAGGTAGCTCTCCAAATTAGGATCCAACTTTAGGCCCCCAAAATACTACGGCACGCTTACTAAAAAGGATCCTGAAAGGGACCCGAATTTAGAGAACTACCCATGTAGTTCTGGGGAAGTATCCGCAAGCTGAAAGACATCACAGCTTCATGACAGACAGCTGCCACACCAAATGATGGGATCCATCCCCTAACTACCCCTGATTCTCTGAAAAAGACCCGTAATGTTCTTCAATAGTAATCAAAACTCTAAACCCTCAAGCCCCTAGAGTTAAATCACCCATAATATCCCCAAAACTGATCACCTACCTAAAACTCCACAAGTAGGTAACAAACGGCCCAAAACCTATAAAGGGCTACTATTCCACAGGTAGACACTACCTGGGTTTAGGGTTTAGGGTTTAGGGTCCTAACCCTAAACCCTAAACCCTAAACCCTAGACCCTAAACCCTAAACCCTTGAATCTTAAAGTCACCATCGCCAGGCCTGTGACATCTCCTGGTCTGAACCTTCGCTGGTGGACACCTGCTCCAGCGGCGGTGGGACCACCTCACACTGGGAGTGCTCAGGGCTGAGCGTTTAGGGTATATGGGGTTTAGGGTTTGGGGTTTAGGGTTTAGGGTTTTGGGCTTTGGGCTTAGGGTTGAGAGTTTAGGCCTCAGGGTTTAGGATTTCGGGTTTGGGTTTAGGGTTTGAGCAAGAGGAGCCTAAATAGTTATTACCACCCAATACTATTTTGGGGGTCCTCGCTATATTGAGAGTATTATCCACCCCTAAAGCCTAGTTTTAATTATTATCTCTTCCACATTAACTAGGGTTTTGGGTTAACGGCTTCAGATTTAGGCACCCTAAGCTGCTGCTAGAGAGGCCTTAAACAATTAGGCGCGGGCTTTGAGGGACATTGTAATACATATGTATATATATATATATATGGGACACTGCATATTAAACCCTAAGCCCTAAACAAGCCAACAAAAACATCGTTCTCTCTCTCTCTCACTCTCTCTCTCTCTCTCTCACTGCCTCACTCTCCCACTGTCTCATTGTCTCACTCTCTGACTCTCTCACTCTCTCACTGTCTGAGTCTCTCACTTTCTCACTCTCTCCTCTCGCTCTCTCACACTCTCTCTCTCTCTCTGTCCCTCTCTCACTCTCACTGTCTCTCTCTCTCTCTCTTTCTCTCTCCGTCCGCATGACACGATGGTAGCAACAAGAATTAGAACCCCTCCGGGCTCCTTACTAAGATTTTGGTATCATAGAACTTTAAGCCGCTCTCTAATCCTTAAGGCCCCCTATGAACCCTAAACCTTTCAGGGGGTTTCGGGGTTTGGGGTCTAGGGGTTCAAGTGTTTAGGGGTTTAGGGTCTAGGGGTTTAGGGTTTAGGGGTCAAGGGGTTTACGGGTTTGGGGTTAGGGTTAGGGTTCAGAGGTTTAGGGCTTAGGGGTTTAGGAAGGGGCTTAGGGTTTAAGGGTTTAGGGTTTAGGGGCTTTGGGGTATCGGGGTTGAGGGGGGTTTAACCCCTAGGCCCCAGGGGGCAGCAACGGGAAGCCGACCTCGGGGAGCATGAGGTGCAACGGCTTCGACGGGGGTGACCAGGTTGAGCACTGTTCATCACTGCGAACCTCAGGGGGTTTTGGGGTTCCTTTAAAAGTTCCTTAAAGGGCTCTATAAGGGCTACTCTAAAGGTGTGGGGTTTCGGGTTTAGGGTTTAGGGTTCAGGGTGTAGGCATTAGGCTTTGGGGGTTCAGGGGTTTAGGGGTTGATTGGTTTCGTGGCCTAGGGGTTTTAGGGTTTAGAATTTGGGGGTTTGGGGTTGGTCTAGGGGTGCTGGGTGCAGGGTTTCGGGGATTAGGATTCAGGGTATAGGGTTCAGGCAACGCGGCGCTTTGGCAAAACGATCAGAGCGGGTGCTAAGTACTAACCTACGTAGAATTCCACTGATAACCTCCTTGCTATGTCCTGTGCTATGGGGCCTACATGGGAGTATACCAGGATAACATTGCCGCTCATCCCGACCTCTATCATGAAGCGGCCCGAATAATTACCCACATTATTCCCTAGGGCTCCTCATTGCAACTAGCAGCCCTTATGGGAACCCTACTCCGGAAATCGAGACCCTAAACCCTAAACCCTAAACCCTAAACGGCCCCCCAACAGTTTTTTGTGCACTCTCCGAGGCTTAGCTCCCGACCTGCACCGCGAAGATGTAATGATGAAATCCTCAGAGCTCATTGGGTTGAGGTTTAGGGTTTAGGGT